TTTGATACAGATAGCGCCAGCAGGCTGCGCCACTAGGGCGCATGTCGGGTCTCGATGCGTAGCCACCTCCACGTGGTGAGACCTGGTAATTGGTATTGTTTTCCAAAGCAAAATTTTTGGCAAACGATACCAAGCTAAGAGCTACGCACAAAGTTTAAGATATTACTTATCTCTTACAAATTTTCATTGTTCGCTTTGAACTTTGAAAATAATCAGTAGGTAATATCCACCGAAGAAATATATAAATAAAGACGAATTCAGCTAAGGTAAGTAAGGTAAGTAAGGTAAGTAAGGTATGTGAGGTCAGTAAAAAGATTAAAATCTTCTACTTGACTACAAACTATTTTTTACTACGAACTACATATAATTCATATAAATTTCCATGTTACGTATATGCATGTCAAAATATTTTTATTTCCTCTGTATTTTTGGCTAAAATGAAATATTACGCGAAAAGTAATCGCTTTAAAAGTTGGGTTGGAGTTTACTTTTCAACTGCTTTACATGAAGAAGTTATTCGTATTTTTGTATCGAATAGTGAAACTAGTTTATATTATTCGCGATTTAGAGAAGTTTCTTCTAATTTTGCGATTGAAGATGTATATGAAAAGATATATAAATATTATACATATAAAAAATGATCATCTACTGGAAAATGGTTTTGGTGTCTATTACTTATAACTACGGCCCTGGCGAAGTGTTAAATTTGCGAGCAATGGCTGAGTGGCAGAAAAATCCAGCTTACCAATTGTCAATATATATTTCACTTGACAATATTGAACATCATCTTAATATTGTTTCTAGATGATTTCTTCCACAGAAAAGCTCACAAAATACGCTACTGTGTAACAAGTTCATGTCAGATAAAGAACTTGTTATAAAAATGTAAGAGTATACATACAAAGTACACTGTGAAGCATATTTTTAAACCTCGATAATCAATTTTAATTATCCAAGAGCACAAATAATTTTAATTATGCACATTCATGAACTTAGTATACTCTAACCTAATTTTTAAGATAAGAATTTTTAGCAATTTTAAGGATACCAGAGTAATTTGGGTTAAATATTAGTGTTCGAGAAAGAATATTGCAAATTAGAGAAAAATTTTATATTTGTTTATTCGTATATTTATTAATGATAAACCTATTGCATGTACCATTTCAAAATTTTTAATTACAAATCCCGCATTTATTTTTGTCATTTTGGACACTCGACTTCGCAATTCTTCGCTTACTACACGTGCAATTAATTTTTCCTTTCAATTTAAATTTAAATTAAATTATTATTATAAAATATTATTAAATTATTTTCTTTTTAAGTAAAATTAAAATAAATTAATTTTCCATTTCTTTTCATTTTTCTCATTTACCGATCATTCGACGGGTCGTGATGGGTTTAACGTAAAAGGAGAAATATTTTACGAGTACACACGTACAATTTGCATATACCTCGTTAGTCTCGAGGGACACTAAAGATCACAGAGAGTGCTATCGTTTTGACGTGTACTGTACTTACTTCTAATGGTTCTATGCAGATTCGTTCGGCCGATGATTAGCACTGTCGAACTCTTCGAGTGGATCATTAACGTCGATACAAGTTTCACTGACGTACGACACGATCTATCTTCGAGTTCCGGTTGATCCTTGCGTCATAGTCATCAGGATGTCGAAGCTGTGATTATCCCTGGTACGCTTACCATCTGTCGCCTCGTAACGAGCACTGTCGAATGCCAATCTCGATGAAGGTCTCCAAGTCCAAGTGTCACGATACTTCGCGTTGATCTTTCACCTTTCATCGTTGATTGAAATTCCGAAGGATCAACGTCACGTGTCTTCGCAAACGCGACTGAATCGTACGTTCTTTCTCAATAAAATCTTAATTTAAAAATTTAAGGATCGACGAGTTTAATCGAACGGAGAGTGATTTCATTGCCATTGACTTACCTGGGAAACGTGCTCTGAGAAAGCAGTAATGGCAAACGTAACACGTGTGCTGAAAATAATTGACAGAAACATGGCAACGTGGTCGAATGATTTGATACATCGAAAAACAGAATTAGATTTAAAATGAGACTCAAATAAAACTCATGATTAATCGTGCTGGAATTCAGAGACTTAACTGAGTCGGAATCAATTAGGTTCAAATTGAACTCGATTAACCCTTTGCATTCGAGAGGCGCCCTTCAGTCGCCATTTGATAAAATTTCGAAGATCGGTATTAATTAATATATCAAGTTTAAGATAATGTACCGGTGTGCGAGGTGTCGAAATCAAATAATTCTACTTGTCAATTATTATACTATTTCTTATTTACTGCTCAAAAAAATATTGTCAGCTTTATGGCAGAAAATCTTTAAGCCAAAAAGTCGTTGAGTGCAAAGGATTAAATCGACATTTATTGGACGAATTTTGGTATTTAAAAATTGGAATACTATGTGTGAGTGATATCTGTTTTGTTCTGTTTGATTTCGTTTGACGTTTGTAGAATTATTATTAATTCTACACGTAGAATTATTTAATTTCGATACCTTGCACACTGTTACATTATCTTAAATTTGATTTATTAATCAATATCGAGCTTCGAAATTTTATCAAATTTTGACTGAAGGGCACCTTTCGAGTGCAAAGGGTTAAATATAAATAAATGATGATAGATCACGATGGATTAACATGGGATACGAATTTCTCGATTTCGTCGTTCATTGACATCACTCTCTTCTCTTTTTATTTCAACTCATTTTGGCTACAGAGTATCACAACATGATAGAGATCGAACTTTAGATAGAATTGCACCGATCCCCGGGGTGCGACCGATCCATCGAATCCAAACGAATTCACGTGCAACAAACTTCATTCGAGAGAACAAATAAACTCTCAAAGAGGACGAAGATATCCAAAACCTAAATTACAAAAGTACCAGGATTAAAAATAAATCCACGAAAACTGTATCAAAACTATCACTCTGATATTCCAATAAAATAATTAAATATTTATTAAGAAATTTTTTAATCGCCGTCCAATTATCGTGCACTTTGTTGATATACAACGTTACGTATGAAATTGTATAGAATATTTTGGTGGCCAATTTTATAAGCGGAAAATCGTGAGAAAGTTGGTTCCCGATTCGACGAAGTTGCTCCACAGGGATCGATGGTAACATCGCAACGAGTAGTTAATCGCCATTAGGCTGCTCAACGACAATTCATTGTTTAATAATGTATTTTTTTTCTTTTTTTCTATTTTTCGAACGCACACCTTACGTACAAAACAGCAGAAGTAACGATGCGCACAGACAGACAACGATACACAGATTAAGTGGATTACGCCACACTCATAAATATACTCTTGACACTTATGCAAACCGAGCCGCGAACAACGTGACGATAATAAAATACGATTTCTCGACGGTGACGGCTGCGATTTAGATTTAGTATGATTCTCTGTTCCGTTGTTCCCCTATTCTCATATACTATTCGCTATTGACAATGTGCCATTTTTCCGCGTAACTGTATCCCCGTATATCACACGTGGTTCCTACAGTTATGTCAAAAAATGTCGCGAAAAAGAAAATCGGATTTTTACCTCACGAATCCGGACGAGAAATTATGGCTGACGTTAGTCGATGATCTCTCGTTTCTAATTACTCGATTTTTTGTCGAACACTGTGACACGTTCTATGAAACACTATGTGTCACGTATCGATCTTTTATTTATAGTACGTAAATATTTATTTTTCATTTCTTCCTCAGTTTATCCACTTTTGTTAATTTCTTGAAGTTTTTATTATATCTTCTTTCCTCGATTTGTCATTCTTTTCTATTAAAAAAATATTATTTATTACGTATTGATCTCTTATCACTGACGTTTCGATTTTTCTTTCTTTTTTACTTATCGATTTCTTGTGACTAGTGTTTCGATTTCTATTATTTTTTCTTTTTTTTTTGTCATTTGTGGATTTTCCTCGATTTCTCGATTTTTTGATAGAAATGGTATTGTGCATTGCGTACCGATCTCTTGTCACTGATGTTTCGATTTTTCTTTCTCTCTCTATTAATTCCTTTTTACTTATCGATTTCCTATGATATAGTGTTATGATATAGTGTTTCGATTTCTATTATTTTTTCTTTTCTTTTTCTGTGTGTGATTTGTGAATTTTCATCGATTTTTCGATTTTTTGTTAGAGACGATATTATGAATTACGTATCGATCTCTTGTCACTGATGTTCCGATTTTTCTTATTCTTTTTATTAATCCTTTATTACTTATGGATTTCTTGTGACTAGTGTTTCGATTTCTATTATTTTGGGGGGGGGGGGGGGATTTTTCGATTTTCCACGATTCCTCGATTTTTTGTCAGAAACGATATTATAGATTACGTACCGATCTCTCGTTCTTAATGCTTAGATTTTTTTATCTATCGATCTTCTTTTCTTCACGTATTTATTTCATAGAAGAAACAGATGCTGTTATCAGTCGATCTTCTGATTCTAATATCCCGATTGCTCATTAAAAACGATGCCATATTTTATCAATCTACTTTCTGATCCTACTGCCACGATTTCTCATAAGAAACGATATAATTGAACGTGCATGTTATCTATTAGTATCTCACATCCAATGCTTTCATTTCTCGTCAGAAACATAATTACTTAACCAACTGCATTAATCGTCAAGCAATCGTAATCGTGATCAAAATCAACGCCTCTCTGACAAACAACCAGCGATATCGCTACAATAACATAACAAACTCTCCAAATATATTAAATTAACGAACAAAGAATCCTCGTGCCAAAAAGGAAAAGGAAGAAAAAATCCGAAGTAAAATCCTATTATATAAAATATAATAAATTATTTAAAATTATATAAAATTCTATTATATAAAGTATAATAAATTATTTGAAATTATATAAAATCCTATTATATGAAATATAATAAATTATAAAAAATTATACAAAATCCAATTATATAAAATATAAATTATCTCAAAAATTCCCCTACTCCATCCTCATAATCGCCTTATTAAAACTGAATTTATTACTATAACCAATCACAGCATGCCTTTTCCTCGCTTCCTCCACTTCCTGTTCCTCCTGTTCGCCAATAGTTTTCCACAAGATTGTACACGAATTCCCATTATACCAGGCGATCGAGAGATATTTCATTCGTGCTGGACGATACAATCTCGTTGGATAAATCGATAAATCCTCGAGCGATCGGATGGATGTTGAAGATTTTCTTGGTAGAGTGAAGCGTTCGGTAAGTCGATAAACCCTCGACTCGAGGGATGAGCAGAGCCGTGAGGACGATGGAAAAAGTACACGCGACAATAATCGTAACGAAGTTATACCGGTTCACTCGGTTCCACGGTGCATTGATTGATGTCGACGGATGTCGTGTTCTCCAACGCCGCGTGACACCGTGTAATTGATAATGATTAGATCGGAAAGGTGGCTGGAAATTCGAGAGACAGCCGGCGCGTGTACATTATTGTATATATAAGTGGTCGTTAAGGTGTCGGTTGTAAAATAACACTCGTAAAATCCGTGTCGATAACAGTCGTGCACTGGGTCGTTCGTATATCTACAGCCTCGAGCCACGCCACTTTTCCGAATAATTTCACGCGCCGGAGTAAATCCTTGGTAATGCGGTACCCGTGAGATTAGCCTCGTTAGGATCGAGTAGCCTCGTGCGAGTAATTCTCCAATTATTTTTCCAATTATTTCCCATCGCTTCCACGCATTTGCGAAAATATATTTACCCTGCAGGCGTCCCACTTCATTTCTATTTTCTCTTCTTGGGGATGAAAATGGCTGACTTTTGCCAGGGATCCATTTTGCACGACGTTGTAAAATTAGATAATTGGCTTCTCTAATTTTCTAATTTTGTAATAATTATTACAAATGATATTACAAATTTTGTTTAATCATGCTTTAAGTGTCGTGTTTCGATGTTTGACCTTTTACTTCGTGGATTTCATTAATTAGGTGTCCACGAATTGTCAAGGAGAGGAAAGAAGTACCTATTTGAAGGTTAGAATTTGTACACGAGAATACCCGAAAATATAGTAGAGAGTATAAGCGTTGGGACGTCATATGGCAGCAGAATTCATCATCACTGAATCATTGTTTTAGATATACCGAGGATAAGTTCATCCTGTGCGCAGTAAGAATTGTTTTATTCGAACAACGACTCCAATACGAACTTTCTCGGTAGAAATTTTCATGGAAACAAAAATTTCGTTTCAGTGCTCACTTCTCCATTTTCGTTTACGAGAAAGAAGCTAAATAATGTATTCCAAATGGTTGATAAACAACGCAACGATAATTCCCCGTCGAGACGTAACGAGTGAACTGTACGAATGAACAATAGTCTTCGAGCAATCCCATAATCATCCCTTATCTACACGCAGACTATCACCGAGGGTAAACATCTGCCTTATCATAAGTATCTGTACATAATCCCAGCTAGTAGTCGTGATAACGATCATGATAAGATTACGTCAACATATTACCATAAAGATTCATAAAAATTCAACGATTCGTTACATAGAAGTCTGAAGACATAACTTAGGTAACAGGAGTACTCGATATGCTCTGGGCCAACTGCCTTCTTCGGGAAAGTCTTAATTTTCTAACTGAATTTTCTCTCAGAAATTAGAAGCTTCGACAGTGGCAAATCAGAGTAAGAAGATAACGAAAGGGTACCGATTCAGAACTTGTGCGTTTTGAACAACCAAACCAAATTCGCTTTGCCCTCCCGCCTCACCACTAGCTTTATGTAGAAACCAGTCACGCCCTCTGCTGGCGCCGTTTGCTGAAGTCGCTGTTCCTGTTTCGGCGATCCATGTACTCTTATCTCAACCCTGTCGTCTTTCCTCTTCCTTGTCTTCTTTCGTTCCACGCTCTGACGTTGTTCCAGCTTCTTCTCTGCCACTGGCTTCCTGCCTTCGAGGTACAGCTGCACTTGCTGTAGCTGCTTGTGCTCCAACTGCTCCTGGTACCTGGTCTCCTGGACCTGTCTCTGTTGCTGACGTAACATCACGTCCTGCTGCGACTTCCACTGAACCTTTAGCTCTTCCAACTGCAACTGTAATTTCCTTTGCTCGCGAATTCTCCGTTGTTCCTCTTCTCTCTGACGTTTTATTAACTCCTGTTCTTCCTGGAACTGTTTCTCTTCTTCCACTCGCTGTTGCGAGTCTTGCTCCTCTATCGAGATTGTCGGATGAGCTAGTTGGTTCGCAGTCTGTTCCTCTCGCGATTCTTCCTTCTCCACTGGTCGTTGTTCTTCCTCTTGTTGGTCCACTACCCCCTCCTTTGCAAGATCCTCAGACTTCAGTTTCTCTGAATCTTCCTGCTTTTTTTTCACTTCCTCCTTCTGCT